AGCATGCATGAGAGCACCAGCTGTTCTGGACGACTGTGTGATCACGCTCTCCATAGCTGATGTGAGCAAGACCTTTAAACAGGTCAACATTCACAAGGCCGCAGGGCCAGACGGATTACCAGGACATGTACTCAGAGCATGCACGGACAAACTGGCAAGTGTCTTCACCGACATTATCAACCTCTCCCTGACCGAGTCTGTAATACCTACATGTTTCAAGCAGACCACTATAGTCCCTGTGCCCAAGAAAGCAAAGGTAACCTGCCTAAATGACTACAGACCCGTAGCACTCACATCGGTAGCCATGAAGTGCTTTGAAAGGCTTGTCATTGCTCACATCAACACCATCATCCTGGAAACCCTAGACCCACTCCACTTCGCATTCCGCCCCAACAGATCCACAAATGACGCAATCTCAATCGCACTCTACACTGCCCTTTCCCACATGGACAAAAGGAACACCTATGTGAGAATGCCATTCACTGACTACAGCTCAGCGTTCAACACCATAGTGCCCACAAAGCTCATCACTAAGCTAAGGACCCTGGGATTAAACACCTCCCTCTGCAACTAGATCCTGGACTTCCTGACGGGCCGCCCCCAGGTGGTAAGGTAGGCAACGACACATCTGCCACGCTGATCCTCAACACGGGGGCCCCTCAGAGGTGCGTGCTTAGTCCCCTCCTGTACTCCCTGTTCACCCACGACTGCGTGGCCAAGCACGACTCCAACACCATCATTAAGTTTGATGACGAGACAACAGTGGTAGGCCTGATCACTGACAATGATGAGACAGCCTATAGGGAGGAGGTCAGAGACCTGGCAGTGTGGTGCCAGGACAACAACCTCTCCGTCAACGTGAGCAAGACAAAGGAGCTGATCGTGGACTACAAGAAAAGGAGGGCCGAGCACGCCCCCATTCCCATTGACAGGGCTGTAGTGGAGCAGGTCGAGAGTTTCAAGTTCCATGGTGTCCACATCACCAACAAACTATCATGGTCTAAACACACCAAGAGAGTCGTGAAGAGGGCACGACAACATATTTTTTCCCCCTCAGGAGACTGAAAAGATTTGGCATGGGTCCCCAGATCCTCAAAAAGTTATACAGCTTGACAGAGGGTAGTGTGTACAGCCCAGTACATCACTGGGGCCAAGCTTCCTGCCATCCAGGAGCTACAGTGCCATGCAAAAGTATTCATCCCCCTTGACGTTTTTCCTATTTTGTTGCATTACAACCTGTAATTTAAATGGATTTTTATTTGGATTTCATGTAATGGACATACACAAAATAGTCCAAATTGGTGAAGTGAAATGAAAACAATAACTTCTTTCAAAAAATTTAACAAAATAAATAACGGAAAAGTGGTGCGTGCATATGTATTCACCCCCTTTGCTATGAAGCCCCTAAATAAGATCTGGTGCAACCAATTACCTTCAGAAGTCACATAATTAGTTAAATAAAGTCCACCTGTGTGCAATCTAAGTGTCACATGATCTGTCACATGATCTCAGTATATATACGCCTGTTCTGAAAGGCCCCAGAGTCTGCGGCACCACCAAGCAAGCGGCACCATGAAGACCAAGGAGCTCTCCAAACAGGTCAGGGACAAAGTTGTGGAGAAGTACAGATCAGGGTTGTGTTATAAAAAAAGATCTGAAACTTTGAACATCCCACGGAGCACCATTAAATCCATTATAAAAATATGGAAAGAATATGGCACCACAACAAACCTGCCAAGAGAGGGCCACCCACCAAAACTCATGGACCAGGCAAGGAGGGCATTAATCAGAGAGGCAACAAAGAGACCAAAGATAACTCTGAAGGAGCTGCAAAGCTCCACAGCGGAGATTGGAGTATCTGTCCATAGGACCACTTTAAGCTGTACACTCCACAGAGCTGGGCTTTACGTAAGAGTGGCCAGAAAAAAGCCATTGCTTAAAGATAAAAATAAGCAAACACGTTTGGTGTTTGCCAAAAGGCATGTGGGAGACTCCCCAAACATATAGAAGAAGGTACTCTGGTCAGATGAGACTAAAATTGAGCTTTTTGGCCATCAAGGAAAACGCTATGTCTGGCGCAAACCCAACACCTCTCAACACCCCAAGAAGCATGGTGGTGGCAGCATCATGATGTGGGGATGTTTTTCATCGGCAGGGACTGGGAAACTGGTCAGAATAGAAGGAATGATGGATGGCGCTAAATATAGGGAAATTCTTGAGGGATGCCTGTTTCAGTCTTCCAGAGATTTGAGACTGGGACGGAGGTTCACCTTCCAGCAGGACAATGACCCTAAGCATACTGCTAAAGCAACACTCGAGTGGTTTAAGGGGAAACATTTAAATGTCTTGGAATGGCCTAGTCAAAGCCCAGACCTCAATCCAATTGAGAATCTGTGGTATGACTTAAAGATTGCTGTACACCAGCGGAACCCATCCAACTTGAAGGAGCTGGAGCAGTTTTGCCTTGAAGAATGGGCAAAAATCCCAGTGGCTAGATGTACCAAGCTTACAGAGACATACCCCAAGAGACTTGCAGCTGTAATTGCTGCAAAAGGTGTCTCTACAAAGTATTGACTTTGGGGGGGGTGAATAGTTATGCACGCTCAAGTTTTCTGTTTTTTTGGTTTATTTCTTGTTTGTTTCACACACAAAAAATATTTAGCATCTTCATAGTGGTAGGCATGTTGTGTAAATCAAATGATACAAACCCCCCAAAAATCCATTTGAATTCCAGGTTGTAAGGCAACAAAATAGGAAAAATGCCAAGAGGGGTGAATACTTTCACAAGCCACTGTATATACTAGGCAGAGGAAGGCCCAAAAAATTGTCAAAGACTCGTCACCCAAGCCATAGACGGTTCTCTCTGCTACCGCACGGCAAGCGGTACCGGAGCGCCAAGTCTAGGTCCAAAAGGCTCCTTAACAGCTTCTAACCCCAAGCCATAAGACTGCTGAACAATTAATCAAATGGCCACCCAGACTATTTACATTGACCCCCCCCCCCCCCCCCCCCCCCCCCCCCCCACACACACACACACATTTGATTTTACACTGCTGCTACTCGCTGTTTATTATCTATGCATAGTCACTTTACCACTAACTACATATACAAATTACCTCGACTAACCTATACCCCCAACATTGACTCGGTAAGGTACCCCCTGTATATAGCCACTGTTAAGTTGCGTCAATTCAAATCTGGTATTAGGAACAAAAGAGGTCAATACACGTCTTCTAAAATAGACTAGTATTTTAATTAATGCAAAAGCTTCAATGGTAAATATGATGTTCGTATATACGGGTCCACTGAAATACCACGCAGGGCACTCAGAGAACTAAGCCATTGTTCTGAGTTCTTCTTAAAATACTCTGACAGAGATAGTTCCCGCTCCCTGCTGGCCAATCAGAGTAGAGACTGAGCGTGGTTTAGACTTACTCAGCCAATCGTTGGCGCACAGGCTGGTCCCAGACCCTTGGCGCTTCACTGTTGCACACTGTTGCCAGGCATAAGTTGTTATCATCACAACCTGTAGAGTCAGCACCCATAGACACTGTTCCCCTGTACCTACGTCCTTGGACGGTTCACAGATCACAAAGAGGCAGTGTAGTCTAGTATTTTGAGACACAAGCTCTTATCTCCCCCTACTCCCTAAAACAGCTCCTCACATTAATCACAGCTTGTTAGGTGAAACAATTTATATCAGTACAGTACAAACCTTTTATGTTTAATCATTAATGCATTATTTCTAAGCTAGTCATCACATCTAGATCCCCACACCACGTTATTGTTATTTTATTGTGACTTTTATTTTTTACTTTAGTTTATTTAGTAAATATTTTCTTAACTCTATTTCTTGAACTGCATTGTTGGTTAAGGGCTTGTAAGTAAGCATTTCACGGTAACGTCTACACCTGTTGTATTCGGCGCATGTTACAAATACAATTTGATTTTATATTTTGACCAACTGAGCCCCCTCAACTTCTAAGCAAAGCATGGGCATTGTTACCCCCTAGTGGAATAGCTCGTCAACTGTAATTCAATGCAACTTTTCATTATATTTTTTTGATAATTTCAAGGCAAGTGATATGTAGATTTTCCATTTTAGATAAATCAAATACAACTTCTATGGCGTAACCGCTGTGAGTTTCATGTTATTCCCTTATAATTGGGTAGCTAGGTCTCAGGCACATTGTGGACCGATTTTTGATGACGTCGCAGATCATGAAGGACCCATGATCGACAGGAAAGCGTTTGCCCGCAAAAGTATGAACAAATTGACGCGGCGACTGAAAATCATCATCTAGTTGATATCAGCTTCATCCTAACTGATACATCGGTAAATCATTTTCATACAGTGTCCGCACAATACAATATAGAAAACAAAATATATATCAATATATATTTTTTTACGTCTTCCTCAATTTTTAAGATGGGCGCTTGTGGGTATACGGAGTGAATGAATGAAAACAACTGCGAGTGCTAGGCTAGCAAACGCGAACAAGCAAACCTTGTGTTGCAAACGTACATTGTCTATTTCGTGAAAATGTTTTGTAATGGTGGGCTAACATTACTGTTATTATTGTGGTTAAGTTGGACATGGCTGGTTGCAACAACGACCAGTGGGTTTGTGTAGAATCAACTTTACAAAGTTGGCTAGGTTGGGCTCTGTTGTAGTTAACTAGATAGCTAGCCTACTAGCTAGGTAACTAGTAGCGGCACCCGTGTCTTTGACAGCGGTTTTGTTTGTAATCAATGTTGACTAGCTAGCTATCATCAACTGAGTTAACAATGATTTTGCTTGCGGATGTATAATGTGTGTGCAGTATCCACGACAACATTATATTATTTTGCAATAGTTAGCCAGCTACCTCGCTAAGTTAGCTATGTTAAAACACTGACATGCTTGCAGTAATGCTAAAATGTACTCCTCCTTTCTTCATCAGAACCTGGTGTTGCTGTGGCTTCTTTGACCTGCACCTGAAGGTTGAGAAACAGACACTATGTTTCTGTATAACCTGACCCTGCAGCGTGCCACTGGCATCACCCACGCCATCCATGGAAACTTCTCAGGTACATAACATTCCTCTCTTGGACTCTCTCATCCCTGAGTCTATATAACATGGATAATGTTACCTATGATCTGGTTTGGGAATCGTTATTGTCTTGCCTTGCAGGAACCAAGATGCAGGAGATAGTTGTTTCCAGGGGGAAGATCATTGAGCTGCTGCGTCCAGATGCCAACACAGGGAAGGTTCACACCCTGCTTACCATGGAGGTGTTTGGCATCATTCGCTCGCTCATGGCCTTCAGGCTGACAGGAGGAACTAAAGGTGTGTTATGAGATGTATGTGTGTGTGTGTCAGCATATGTTTGTCTGCATGTACACCTGAGATTGCTTTTTGGTGCATATACAGCGCTTCTTGGGTATGATGTTATCTTGGGTATGATGCTCCTCCACCAGAAAATATATTATCAAAGATGAGCCTGCACTTAGCCTCTGCCCAGGCTTCGTCATGATTCGTCCAGTTTTGGCAAATCATTTTTCTGCTTTAGCCCAATGGTCGTTTTAGCTTCTTTTTTTTGTCATTAGGAGGCGATACCATCATATCACAATGTTTTATGGGTACATAATCACGATAGGACAGAAGTTGACATCGCCCAACCCTAGTGTGTAATGTAGATGCACGTTTTCTGTATGTGTGTGGTTGAAAAACTCTTATTTTAAATCTGTTATGAGACATTTGTGCTTTTGATCCCCAGACTACATTGTGGTGGGCAGTGACTCAGGCCGCATCGTGATCCTTGAGTACCACCCCTCCAAGAACATGTTCGAGAAGATCCACCAGGAGACCTTTGGCAAGAGTGGGTGTCGTCGAATCGTCCCTGGACAGTTCCTCGCCGTTGACCCCAAGGGCAGAGCAGTCATGATAGGTAAAGAAGCGCAGGGAACAGAGAACTGAGAGATATAATGTTGTGGAGAGAGTTGGTAATGGTTTGAAAATTCAAAGAAGTTTAAAGTTGAAAAATCCTTGATTTGGTAAGATAATCCCCTATTGCAATGTCTGTGTAGTTTACTGATTACCTCTGTGTTTCCAGGTGCCATTGAGAAGCAGAAGCTGGTATACATCCTGAACAGAGATGCAGCAGCGCGTCTCACCATCTCCTCTCCTCTGGAGGCACACAAGGCTAACACACTGGTCTACCATGTGGTAGGAGTGGATGTGGGCTTTGAAAACCCCATGTTCGCCTGTCTGGAGATGGACTATGAGGTGAGAGCCCAACACTGACCCCTATGATTTGTGAATTTGCTCATGCACTCTTGTTATGTACAACAGAACTGGACCTCTTTAATCTAATCTAGGCTTACACACAGGCTCTGATGTGCTGCTGCTTTATTCTCTCTATACACACCAAGTGTTGTTGAAATGATGAGTCTTCATGTCTCTTCTCTGACGAAACACTGGAGAGAGCTTAAAAACCTCTGATTTCAACACAATCCCACTGTTGTAGCTGCTCTGCTACTAAAGATATCCTGTAAATCCTCATCCTGTGACCTCTCCCTCCTTCCAGGAAGCTGACAATGACCCCACTGGCGAGGCTGCAGCCAACACCCAGCAGACCCTGACCTTCTATGAGCTGGACCTGGGTTTGAACCATGTGGTGCGCAAGTACAGCGAGGCCCTGGAAGAGCACGGCAACTTCCTCATCACAGGTAGCAACACTGAACAATAATATAAACGCAATATGCAGCAATTTCAGAGATTTTACTGAGTTACAGTTCATATAAGAAAATCAATAAATTGAAATACATATATTAATCAATCAAATGTATTTATAAAGCCCTTTTTACAACAGCAGATGTCACAAAGTGCTATACAGAAGCCCAAATCCCCAAACAGCAAGCAATGGAGATGTAGAAGCACGGTGGATAGGAAAAACTCCCTAGAAAGGCAGGAACCTAGGAAGAAACCTAGAGAGGACCAGGCTCTGAGTGGTGGCCAGTCCTCTTCTGGCTGTGCCGGGTGGAGATTAGAAAAATACATGGCCATTTAAGGACAGATTGTTCTTCAAGAAGATCAAACGGTCATAGATGACCAGCAGGGTCAAATAATAATCACAGTGGTTGTAGAGGTTGCACCTCAGGAGTAAATGAGGTCGAGCATTCAGAGGTCGAGACAGCAGGTGCGGTAGAGAGAGAGTCGAAAACAGCAGGTTCGGGACAAGGTAGCATGTCCGGTGAACAGGTCAGGGTTCCCTAGCCGCAGGCAGAACAGTTGAAACTGGAGCAGCAGCACAACCAGGTGGACTGGGGACAGCCAGGAGTCATCAGGCCAGGTAGTCCTGATAACAGGGCTCAGGTCCTCCGGGAGGGAGGGAGAGAGAGAGAATTAGAGGGAGCATACTTAAATTCACACAGGTCACCAGAGCAGACAGGAGAATTACACCAGGTATAACAGACTGACCCTAGCCCCCCGGCACATAGACTATTGCAGCATAGATACTGGAGGCTGAGATAGGAGGGGTCGGGGGACACTGTGGCCACGTCCGACGATACCCCCGGTCAGGGCCAACCAGGCAGGATATAACCCCACCCACTTTGCCAAAGCACAGCCCCCCCACCACTAGAAGGATATCAACAGACCACCAATTTAGGCCCTAATCTATGGATTTGACATGACTGGGAATACAGATATGCTTCTGTTGGTCACAGATACCTTAAAAAAGGTAGGGGTGTGGATCAGAAAACCAGTCAATATCTGGTGTGACCACCATTTGCTCATGCAGCGTGACACATCTCCTTCGCATAGAGTTGATCAGGCTGTTGATTGTGGCCTGTGGAATGTTGTCCCACTCCTCTTCAATGGCTGTGTGAAGTTGCTGGATATTGGCGTAACTGTAACACGCTGTCGTACACGTCAATCCAGAGCATCCCAAACATGCTCAATGGGTGACATGTCTGGTGAGTTTGCAGGCCATGGAAAAACTGGGACATTTTCAGCATCCAGAAAACATGGAGCCATGCATTATCATGCTGAAACATGAGTTGATGGCGGCGGATGAATGGCACGACAATGGGCCTGAGGATCTTGTCACGGTATCTCTGTGCATTGAAATTGCCATCGATAAAATGCAATTGTGTTTGTTGTCTGTAGCTTATGCCTGTCCATACCATAACGCCACCGCCACCATGGGGCACTCTGTTCACAACTTTGACATCAGCAGACTGCTCGCCCACACGACGACATACACGCGTGTGCCATCTGCCCGGTACAGTTGAAACCGGGATTCATTTGTGAAGAGCACACTTCTTCAGCATGCCAGTGGCCATCAAAGGTGAGCATTTGCCCACTGAAGTGGGTTACGACTCCGAACTGCAGTCAGGTCAAGACCCTGGTGAGGACGAGGAGCACGCAGATGAGGTTCCCTGAGATGGTTTCTGACAGTTTGTGCAGAAATTCTTCGGTTGTGCAAACCCACAGTTTCGTCTGGGTGGCTGGTCTCAGACAATCCCGCAGGTGAAGAAGCCAAATGTGGTGGTCCTGGGCTGGCGTGGTTACACGTGGTCTGCGGTTGTGAGGACGTACTGCCAAATTCTGTAAAACGACGTTGGAGGCGACTTATGGTGGCGAAATTAACATTAACATCTCTGGTGGACATTCATGCATGCTAATTGCACGCATCCTCAAAACTTGAAACATCTGTGGCATTGTGTTGTGTGACATTTTAGAGTGGCCTTTTACTTTCCCCAGTGTAAGGTGCACCTGTGTAATGATCATGCTGTTTAATCAGCTTCTTGGTATGCCACACCTGTCAGGTGGATGGATTATCTTGGTAAAGGACAAATGCTAGCTAACAGGGATGTAAACAAATTTGTGCACAATTTCTGGGATCTTTTATTTCAGCTCATGAAACATGGGACCAACACTTAACATGTTGCATTTATATTTTTGTTCAGTGTACATTATTTCCAGTAGAGGGTGGCCAGAGACAGGTTATAAGTTGTTTGCAGCCTTCCCGCTTGTGTTCTACTGATGAGGTCTACCCTTGCACATACAGTGCCTTCGGAAAGTATTCAGACCCCTTTACTTTTTCCACATTTTGTTACGTTACAGCCTTATTCTAAAATTAAATTGTTTTTTCCCCTCATCAATCTACACACAATACCCCATAATGACAAAGGAAAAACAGTAAAAAATAAATAAAAAACATCACATTTACATAAGTATTCAGACTGTTTACTCAGTACTTTGTTGAAGCACCTTTGGCAGCAATTACAGCCTCGAGTCTTCTTGGATATGACGCTACAAGCTTGGCACACCTGTATTTGGGAAGTTTCTCCCATTTCTTCTTTGCAGATCCTCTCAAGCTCTGTCAGGTTGGATGGGGAGCGTCGCTGCACAGCTATTTTCAGGTCTCTCCAGAGATGTTAGATCAGGTTCAAGTCCGGGCTCTGGCTGGGCCACTCAAGGACATTCAGAGACTTGTCCCGAAGCCACTCCTGTGTTGGCTTGGCTGTGTGCTTAGGGTCATTGACCTTTTGGAAGGTGAACCTTCGCCCCAGTCTGAGGTCCTGAGTGCTCTGGGGCAGGTTTTCATCAAGGATCTCGCTGTACTTTGCTCCATTCATCTTTTCCTCGATCCTGACTAGTCTCCCAGTCCCTGCCGCTGAAAAACACCCCCACAGCATGATGCTGCCACAAATGCTTCACCTTAGGGATGGTGCCAGGTTTCCTCCAGACGTGACGCTTGGCATTCAGGCCAAAGAGTTCAATCTTGGTTTCATCAGACCAGAGAATCTTGTTTCTCATGGTCTGAGAGTCTTTAGGTGCCTTTTGGCAAGCTCCAAGCGGGCTGTCATGTGCCTTTTACTGAGGAGTGGCTTCTGTCTGGCCACTCTACCATAAAGGCCTGATTGGTGGAGTGCTGCAGGGATGGTTGGCCTTCTGGAAGGTACTCCCATCTCCACAGAATAACTCTAGAGCTCTGTCAGAGTGACCATCGGGTTATTGGTTACCTCCCTGACCAAGGTCCTTCTCCCCTGATTGCTCAGTTTGGCCCGGGCGGCCAGCTCTAGGAAGAGTCTTGGTGGTTCCAAACTTCTTCCACTGAAGAATGATGGAGGCCACTGTTCTTGGGGTCCTTCAATGCTGTAGAGATTTTTTGGTACCCTTCCCCAGATCTGTGCCTCGACACAATCCTGTCTCGGAGCTCTACGGACAATTCCTTCGACCTCATGCCTTGGTTTTTGCTCTGACATGCACTGTCAACTGTGGGACCTTTATATAGACAGATGTGTGCCTTTCCAAATCATGTCCAATCAATTGAATTTACCACAGGTGGTTCCAATCAAGTTGTAGAAACATCTCAAGGATGATCAATGGAAACAGGATGTACCTGAGCTCAATTTCGAGTCTCAAAGCAAAGGGTCTGAATTCCAAAATTTCTAAAAAACAGGTTTTGGTTTGTCATTATGGGGTATTGTGTGTAGATTGCTGAAGATGTGTATTTATTTAATCCATTTTAGAATAAGGCTTTAACGTAACAATGTGGAAACAGTCAAGGGGTCTGAATACTTTCCGAAGGCACTAGCTCTTCTCTTCCTGCTGCTGGGGTGAAGATAGGTCCTCATATTGCCACTATAGAGATAAAACAGCACTGCAGAAAATGTTTTTATTGACATGATGAGATTATCATGTCTCTTTTCTGACCCACTGGAGACGGAGCTTAAACACTTCTGATCTCAACACAAGCAATCCCACTGTCGTAACTGTTCTGCTAGTGGTCTCTAAGGCTGGATGTATTTATTTTACGCTACAGTGCAAACCTATTGTGTGGTCATTACCCTTTCCCCCTGTCTTCTCTAGTTCCTGGAGGCTCTGATGGGCCTAGTGGAGTTCTCATCTGTTCAGAGAACTACATCACCTACAAAAACTTTGGGGACCAGCCTGACATCCGCTGTCCCATCCCACGCAGGAGGGTGAGTTTCTGTTACGTTTTGTAAATGCAAAAATGGATTTTGAAATAACTTGGCTAACCAGACATGGTCATACATGTTAACAATGTGAATGTTTGTATGGATCACAGTTGATTTGATACTATCCGCACTGTGCCCTCAATCCTTTTTATTTTGCCTGAGCACAGAATGACCTGGATGACCCTGAGCGAGGCATGATCTTCGTCTGCTCAGCCACCCACAAGACCAAGTCCATGTTCTTCTTCCTGGCCCAGACGGAGCAGGGGGACATCTTCAAGGTCACCCTGGAGACAGATGAGGAGATGGTGAGGCCAGCAGGGTGCAGTCTGAGACGGGAACTGGGGGAAGGTTGCAGCGGTGGTCATCTGATGTGGGGGAGATAGAAATAGAACCGTGCTGTTGAAGTGATGAGTCTTCATGTCTCTTCTCTGACAAAAACATGGAGAGAGCATTAACACCTCTGATCTCAGCATGCACACACACACACACTAACTCAGGTCAGTGTTCACAAGATGGGATATTCTGCGATTCCTTCTCATTCAAATAAACGTTTGCGTCCCCCAGGTTACAGAGATCAGGATGAAGTACTTTGACACCATACCTGTAGCCACAGCCATGTGCGTGTTGAAGACCGGTTTCTTATTTGTGTCCTCAGAGTTTGGCAACCAGTAAGTAATTCATTACACTGTAATCCCTCTCAATACCACACACATCCCATCTTTGTCCATGTCTCTTGCTCTCCTGTGTTTATTGTCTTCTCTCTTCTCTCGCTCTGCTAGTTACCTGTACCAGATAGCCCATCTGGGAGATGACGATGAGGAGCCAGAGTTCTCCTCTGCCATGCCCCTGGAGGAGGGAGATACCTTCTTCTTCCAGCCACGCCCCCTCAAGAACCTGGTGCTGGTGGACGAGCAGGAGAACCTCTCCCCCATTATGTCCTGCCAGGTGTGTTTGTGTGTGTGTGAATCTCTGTGTTGTGTGATTGGTGTGCGTGCAACGGTTTTAGCTTTTGATTATCATGGATTATGTAATGGATTAACTTTGTGGAGTGACATACCTTTTCCTCTGTTCTACCGAACTGTAACAGCTTTAGCTGGGGTAGAGATGTTTTTCCACTATTTTTGGCACGATGAACCTGATTTTGACTTGCTTGAATGCGAGTTAGTTGGAGTACAAAGATTCTTGTATTTTTTTTAATCACATTTTTATTAGAAGGATTTGCATTAACCTTCCACCCCCCACACACACACAAAGATGCTTCTGAAGTGTTGTGGCAAGGTTTGAGGAGAAGGATGTTGTGCTGTTGAAGTGATGAGTTTCTCATGTCTCTTCTCTGACTAAATATCAATGGAGAGAGTTTAAACACCTCTGATCTTGGCATTATAACCTGACACAGACACCACATGTGAGACTGCCTTGTTTATTTCTGGCACTGTATTACTTCTTATATTCTGTCCTCTATTAGAATACATACTGATCTCTTACTCACCGCTGGCCCGTTCTTTCACTCACCTCATCTATTTCTCTCTCCCTGTGTAGATTGCTGACCTGGCTAATGAGGACACTCCCCAGCTGTATGTGGCCTGTGGCAGGGGACCCAAATCCACCCTCAGAGTGCTCAGACATGGACTGGAGGTATGTGTACTGCTATTCCTACTCCCATCGCACATTCACATCCCACAAAGTGCTCACACACACACACACACACATTCTCTCGGTGTGGCACATGCCACAGTAGTATTTGAACAACGGCAACATTTTAACAAAGTCATGCAGATACTCACTCACATGCATACCAGAAACCCGAGTTGGGACAGAGTTTGGGTTTTAAGTTTCTGGTGCTGTTGCTTCTCACACACCAGCTCATATTTAAAGTGTTTAAGAAGCTGTATGAAATGATGATATTCATGTCTCTTCTCTGACAAAGCACTGGAGAGAATGTGGATACCTCTGATCTCAGCAGATCTTAACATGTTAATGCACAGGTAACAGACTGGTAAATGCTTAGGTTAGATTAAAATGAGTCTGATCAGTGATTGTTCCCTCCAGGTATCAGAGATGGCTGTGTCTGAGCTGCCCGGTAACCCAAATGCTGTGTGGACTGTGCGCAGACACATTGAAGGTACTTGTTAATTTATTTAATGAATACATCAATGTTTTTCTGTAGTTGCAAGTTATTCTGCCTTCTACCTCATTACAATCTACTTCTGCAGTGTTTGGTTGCAGTTATTGTGTATGACATGGTTGTAAAGTGGCATTGTTTTAATCTTAATACTGTTTTTATCAAAAGTGTGATGTTGCAGTCTGGCATCAGAGTGCATGATATTTTGCATTCTGGGACAAAGTCACTCTGCCAGACTATTCCCAGAAGTCATGTGATTTCAGAGATTTTTCCCGTCATGGTGTAGTGCAGTGGCTTAGTTCCTCTGCAGCTGCCTGGTAGAGACAGTGCTGTGCAGGCTTGACTTCACTTTCACTCTGACATTCATCCATTACACAGAACACTTGGCTCATCCAACTGGTTAGCCTGCACAAGTCAGACATTGTAGCTTCTACACACTGGGTTACAGATGTAGATTTAAAGATTGTAATGCCATACTCTGGGTTAGTGAAAAACCAAAATAAGGGTATAAGAATGGTAGTAATTGCTTCATGTATCAGATTAGGACAGATTCCTCTGAAGTTTCAGGGCAGGGTTTGTTGTGCTGTTGAAGTGATGAGTTTCTCATGTCTCTTCTCTGACAGAAATATCAATGGAGAGAGTTTAAACACCTCTGATCTCAGCATTATACATACTTTGTGAATAAATAAATGTAGTTTATGATATTGATTAATTGCTTCATGTATCAGATTAATACTAAACCATGGTTTATTGAATAAAACTAACGGTCCAGAAATCCCCTTGGTGTGAAACTCCTACTCATTTAAACACCTCTCCACCTCCAGATGAGTTTGACGCCTACATCATCGTGTCCTTCGTCAACGCCACCCTGGTTCTGTCTATTGGTGAGACCGTAGAGGAAGTTACAGACTCTGGCTTCCTTGGGACCACCCCCACCCTCTCCTGCTCTCTGCTGGGGGAGGATGCTCTGGTGCAGGTCAGTCTAAAACCCACACTACACACGCCTCTCACAGGGGCCTAAATATGCACCTATGCACCTTATGTTCTGGAGGGAATACAATGCTGATGGTAAAAGGGAAATTAAGTGTATGACAGATAAAATACTGCTGTTGAAGTGATGAGTCTTCATGTCTCTTCTCTGACATAACGATGGAGAGAGCTTAAACAACTCTGATCTCCGCACTATTCACACACATTAGACACCCAGGCCAGGCCCCTTCCCCAGCCCTGTATAAACTGAATAACCCTGTTGTACAGGTGTATCCTGATGGGATCCGTCACATCCGTGCTGATAAGCGTGTGAATGAGTGGAAGACTCCGGGGAAGAAGACCATTGTGCGCTGTGCAGTCAACCAGAGGCAGGTGGTCATCGCTCTGACCGGAGGAGAGCTGGTCTACTTTGAGATGGACCCTGTGAGTATACTTTCATCCCCTGGGTGTCTATTTTCTCAGCCAAGTTCGGTCTTGTTTCAGTTTGACCCAGTTTTATCTGCTTTTTGCGGATATCCAGAGGTCTCTCCTGCTCAGTTTCAAGTTTATATATCTTCTGACAGTAGATGTTTTATGATAACCTTCCCCTCTCTCTATCTCCATGTCTCTCCCCCCAGTCTGGCCAGCTGAATGAGTACACGGAGAGGAAGGAGATGTCAGCTGACGTGGTGTGTATGAGCTTGGCCAATGTCCCCCCTGGCGAGCAGCGCTCCCGTTTCCTGGCGGTGGGGCTGGTGGACAACACCGTCCGCATCATTTCCCTGGACCCCTCGGTACGACACTCACTGTGCAATCTGTTTGTCCATCTGTTTAGAATGGACCTGATTCATACTGGCTGCTCTGCGAGTCTGTAACAAGCACCAGATGTTCTTGGACTGTTCAAATCCAAATAACACCATGCCATTGTGGATATTTGCCGTCTCTTTAGCATGCGTTTGTCTCTCGAAGCTGTGTATGTGCCACTAACCCCTCTGTGTTTTTGTGGTGTAGGACTGTCTCCAGCCCCTCAGTATGCAGGCCCTGCCAGCCCAGCCTGAGTCTTTGTGTATAGTGGAGATGGGAGGAGTGGAGAAGGAAGATGAGCTAGGAGTGAAGGGCACTGTCGGCTTCCTCTACCTCAACATTGGACTGCAGGTAAAATACACTACATCTCATTCCAAAATCATGGGCATTAATATGGAGTTGGTCCCCCCTTTGCTGCTATAACAGCCTCCACTCTTCTGGGAAGGCTTTCCACTAGATGTTGGAACATTGCTGCGGGGACTTGCTTCCATTCAGCCACAAGAGCATTAGTGAGGTCGGGCACTGATGTTAGGCTATTAGGCCTGGCTCGCAGTCTGCGCTCCAATTCATCCCAAAGGTGTTCGATGGGGTTGAGGTCAGGGCTCTGTGTAGGCCAGTCAAATTCTTCCTCACCGATCTCAACAAACCATTTCTGTGTGGACCTCGCTTTGTGCACGGGTGCATTGTCATGTTGAAACAGGAAAGGGCCTTCCCCAAACTGTTGCCACAAAGTTGCAAGCACAGAATCGTCTAGAATGCCATTGTATGCTGTAGCGTTAAGATTTACCTTCACTGGAACTAAGGGGCCTAGCCCAAACCATGAAAAACAGCACCAGACCATTATTCCTCCTCCACCAAACTTTACAGTTGGCACTATGCATTCGGCAGGTAGTGTTCTCCTGGCATTCGCCAAAACCCAGATTTGTCCGTCGGACTGCCACTCCAGATTATGCGTTTCCACTGCTCCAGAGTCCAATGGTGGCAAGCTTTACACCACTCCAGCCGACACTGCTGCTCGGCCACTGAAATCCATTTCATGTAGTTCCTGATAAATAGTTATTGTGCTGACGTTGCTTCCAGAGGCAGTATGGAACTCGGTAGGGAGTGTTGCAACCGAGGACAGACGACTCTTACGCGCTTCTGCACTCGGCGGTCCTGTTCACTGACCTTGTGTGGCCTACCACTTTGCGGCTAAGCCGTTGTTTCTCCTAGATGTTTCCACTTCACAATAACATCACTTACATTTGACCGGGGCAGCTCTAGCAGGGCAGAAATTTGAGACTGACTTGTTGGAAAGGTGGCATCCTATGAAGGTGCCACGTTGAAAGTCACTGAGCTTTTTAGTAAGGCCATTCTAATGCCAATGTTTGTCTATGGAGATTGCATGGCCGTGTGCTCGATTCTATACACCTGTCAGCAACGGGTGTGGCTGAAATAGCCGAATCCACTAATTTGAAGGGGTGTCCACATACTTTTGTATATATAGTGCATGTGTCCTCTGATGTGTTGAGGAAGGGTTTGAGTAGAGGGATATTGTGGTGCTGAGTTTCATGTCTCTTCTCTGACAAATAATAGAGTTTAAAACACCTCTGATCTCAGCATACAGTATATACACACACATACACTATCTGTGTTACTGCCTGTTTACTTCTGGCACTGTATTACATGATATTTTGTGCTCTGTTGGAAGACATGCTAGAGCTTTATTTGTGACATTAACAGGTCTGTCTTTCCTCAGAATGGTGTGTTGCTCAGGACCGTGCTGGACCCAGTGACTGGAGACCTGTCTGATACTCGTACTCGGTACTTGGGGTCGCGACCTGTGAAGCTCTTCCGTGTCAGGATGCAGGGACAGGAAGCTGTAAGTGAAATCCGATTAGTTGGTTTTATGGAACTGAAACATAACATTGAGGCTGTGTGTATGACTATTCTCTTTGATCTCTGAACTCTCCATCTCCTTCAGGTGTTGGCCATGTCTAGTCGCTCCTGGCTGAGTTACTCCTACCAGTCCCGATTCCATCTGACGCCCCTGTCCTATGAGACGCTGGAGTATGCCTCTGGCTTCGCCTCTGAACAGTGTCCAGAGGGCATTGTGGCAATCTCCACCAACACTCTGAGGTACACACAGAACATGAAAGTAAACACATCTACTCTGAGTGTGCAAAACATTAAGGACACCTGCTCTTTCCATGACATAGACTGACCAGGTGAATCCAGGTGAAAGCTATGATCCCTTATTGATGTCACTTGTTAAATCCACATTAATCAGTGTAGGAGGAGACAGGTTAAAGAATGATTTTTAAGCCTTGAGACAATTGAGACATGGATTGTGTATGTGTGCCATTCAGATGTGAATCGGCAAGACAAAATATTGAAGTGCCTTTGAACGGGGTATGGTAGTAGGTGCTTGGTGCACTGGTTTGTGTCAAGAACTGCAACGCTGCTGGGTTTTTCACGCTCAACAGTTTCCTGTGTGTATCAAAAATGGTTCACCTCCCAAAGGACATCCAGCCAACTTGACACAACTGTGGGAAGCATTGGCATCAACATGGGCCAGCATCCCTGTGGAACGCTTTTGACACCTTGTCGTCTATGCCCTGACGAATTGAGGCTCTTCTGAGGGCAAAATTAGGGCAACTCAATATTAGGAAGGTATCCTTAATGTTTTGTACACTCAGTATATATTGAGGAAATGTCTTCATTGACAAGGTTTGAAGGTAGAGGAGTTATGCTGTTGAAGTGATGAGTCTTCATGTCTCTTCTCTGACAAACCAATGGAGAGAGTGTAAACACCTCTGATCTCAGCATATAGGCAGAGATCACATCTCATTTTTCTCTCATTTCCCTCAACCATCCTCATTCTCAATTATAACGCTGATATTTAACTTATGAGGGGCATGTCCCATTTACTTTTTGAAATGTTATTTCTGTTCCCATTATGGCCGAGTTGTGGCATGGCACACCTGTTACGTGGTACACATGACACTCTGACACTGCCTTTGTCTCCCTCTTAGGATTCTGGCCTTGGAGAAGCTGGGTGCCGTGTTTAACCAGGTGGCCTTCCCCCTGCAGTATACACCTCGCAAGTTTGTCATTCACCCAGAGACAAACAACCTGATACTCATAGAGACTGATCACAATGCCTACACAGAGGCCACCAAGGCCCAGCGCAAGCAGCAGATGGCAGAGGTATGGTTCTGTCCTGACCAACGGGGCAATGGACTAAGAGGGAGAGAGGGCTGAGGCTATATGTTGTATACCCAGGCTGTGTAAATTGTGTGGCCTGATATTATGAAAGTGTAGCTATAGGCAAAACTTCAATAGAAATAATTTACAATTGTTTTTTTATAGCACTTTCCTAAACCCGAAGAAGCTTATTTCAAGGCAGGGTTTGAGGAGAGGGGTGTTATGCTGTTGACGTGATGAGTTTCTCATGTCTCTTCTCTGACAGAATAATAATGGAGAGAGCTTAAAACACCTCTGATCCCAGCATATATACAGAGATTACACAAACAATGTAGACATTGACATATGGAATTAGACTGATACTTTGAAATACTTTGCTTACACTTATGTAGATCTCTCTCACCCCCTCCTCCCTACTTTTCTTTGTCTCTGTTTGTAACTGACACCACTTCTGTGTTGTTCCCTTCTGTAGGAGATGGTTGAGGCAGCTGGTGAGGATGAGAGGGAGCTGGCAGCAGAGATGGCTGCTGCCTTCCTCAATGAGAACCTGCCAGAGGCCATCTTTGGGGCGCCCAAGGCCGGGTCTGGCCAGTGGGCCTCTCTGGTGCGTCTGGTCAACCCCATCCAGGGAACCACTCTGGACCTGGTCCAACTGGAGCAGAATGAGGCTGCCTTCAGGTGAGGACAGAGGAGAGGATAAGGATGGATGGAATAGAGCTCGCCAGCTTGTAGTCCTAAAAACCGGAAATGAGTTACTTCTGGTTCTTTCAGCCATTCCTATAGGGGAAATTAATGGGGAAAGAATGTGGTTTTGTGATAAACGCCCAAAATAACGTCAGATCATACGTTTTGTTCTATGAGATAATATTATGGCCCTATAAAATCTGCGTTGCTGAAAAAGCGGACGGAATCACAGAATCCTGACAAAACGGAATTCAACAATATTCAAAAATGTATTGAAGTTAATAGAAAATCAACTTAATGTATTGAACTTATGAGAACATTTATTAACTTGCCCAAGTTAAACATAAGACATGAACAAAATGCATCATGAACTACGTTTCCATCCATAGTTTTTATGAGTAAAGTCATATCGTATATACCATTTGTTTTTTACAACATCTGTGATGGAAACAGGACGTTTCAGAGTAATTTTATAAATGCAGACATATCATTTGTTTGTTTGAGATGGTGGGATCTTTTCTGTGTTGATCAAATTCATTATGCGGGAAATGGCTGTGGAAAGGCCTTTATGCGCAAATATTGATATAATAATCATCATATCGAAGTACATTTGGAGTCACACGATGATATGTTGTGTGGTCCTCCCACTTCCACTCGGGAAATCATGCAGTTTATTAGGCTACAAATGAAAAGTTATGATGAACTTCACAGGGTGGTGAAAGTGCACAGTGATGAGCTTGATGCTCCTTTCCCAAAAAAGATTGAGGGTCTTATTCTGGTGACATGATGATCGATGCTTGACTTTCGTTTGACAAATAACAATATTCTGGCTCCTATCCACGGTAATCTACTTAATAACCTCGTCATGTAGACTAGACAACCCGCACAACCTACCTGCATTGTATCTGCCAGCTGTTGGCTAGAGCACAGGTGCCAAGACCAGAGTATGCACATTTTCTATTTAACTGACAAAAATGCGATGGAAACGCAATTGAACTTTAGATTTTTATTCAGTACTTGAAAACTTAAGAGAAAAATGAGATTTTGTGGGGACTACATCATCACACACTGATTTTTATCCACAACAAGTCCAGTTGGTGGAAATGTAGATTCAATTGGATGGAACCTTCTTCTGAAGCAGCACAGGAATGCCCGTCTGTGTGTTGTGCATATATGTCTAGTCTACACTTTGTGTAGCCATTGGTGATAATGCTAATGATAACCATCTGCTGGTAGATGGAAAGGCTTTCCCAAAAACCTTCTCAATTAAATGTTAACTCAGCAAAAAAAGAAACGTCCTCTCGCTGTCAACTGCGTTTATTTTCAGCAAACTTAACATGTGTAAATATTTGTAACAACATTCAATAACTGAGACATAAACTGAACAAGTTCCACAGACATGTGACTAACAGAAATGGAATAATGTGTCCCTGAACAAAGGGGAGGTCAAAATCAAAAGTAACAGTCAGTATCTGGTGTGGCCACCAGCTATATTAAGTACTACAGTGGATCTCCTCTTCATGGGCTGCACCAGATTTGCCAGTTCTTGCTGTGAGATGTTACCCCACTCTTCCACCAAGGCACCTGCAAGTTCCCAGACATTTCTGGGGGGAATGGCCCTAGCCCTCACCCTCCGATGCAACGGGTCCCAGATGTGCTCAAATGGATTGAGATCTGGGCTCTTCACTAGCCATGGCAGAACACTGACATTCCTGTCTTGCAGGAAATCACGCACAGAACGAGCAGTATGGCTGGTGGCATTGTCATGCTGGAGGGTCATGTCAGGATGAGCCTGCAGGAAGGGTACCACATGAGGGAGGAGGATGTCTTCCCTGTAATGCACAGCGTTGAGATTGCCTGCAATGACAACAAGCTCAGTCTGATGATGCTGTGACACACTGCCCCAGACCATGACACCACCTCCAAATCCATCCCGCTCCAGAGTACAGGCCTCGGTGTAACGCTCATTCCTTCGACGATAAACGCAAATCCGACCATCACCCCTGGTTAGACAAAACCGTGACTCGTCAGTGAAGAGCACTTTTTGCCAGTCCTGTCTGGTCCAGCGACGGTGGGTTTGTGCCCATAGGCGACGTTGTTGCCGGTGATGTTGCCCTCAGTCCAGCCTCTCTCAGCCTATTGCGGACAGTCTGAGCACTGATGGAGGGATTGTGCGTTCCTGGTGTAATTCAGGTGTGATTTTCGGATGTACCGATCCTGTGCAGGTGTTGTTACACGTGGTCTGCCACTGCGAGGACGATCAGCTGTCCATCTCCCTGTAGCGCTGTCTTAGGCGTCTCACAGTACGGACATTGCAATTTATTGCCCTGGCCACATCTGCAGTCCTCATGCCTCCTTGCAGCATGCCTAAGGCACGTTCACGCAGATGAGCAGGGACCCTGGGCATCTTTCTTTTGGTGTTTTTCAGAGTCAGTAGAAAGGCCTCTTTTAGTGTCCTAAGTTTTCATAACTGTGACCTTAATTGCCTACCGTCTGTAAGCTGTTAGTGTCTTAACGACCGTTCCACAGGTGCATGTTAATTGTTTATGGTTCATTGAACAAGCATGGGGAAACAGTATTTAAACCCTTTACAATGAAGATCTGTGAAGTTATTTGGATTTTTACAAATTATCTTTGAAAGACAGGGTCCTGAAAAAGGGACGTTTCTTTTTTTGCTGAGTTTACAAATTAGCGTATGCCTACCTGACAGAATATGAGTATTTGCATCAATCAATTGGCATTTTTTTGTGCAATCTCTGCAATCACAAGGTTTCTGGCTGGTGCACACTTGCATTAAAGGGTAACTGCACCCACATTTCTGAATTTCTTAGATTTTTCCCAGACCTCAAAAGTGGTCTCCTGATGTGATTTAAGCATTGTTGTGGACTTAGAACATCCAATTTAGTTGTTTTTCTATTAAACAGGTATGATTTTGAGAGCAAAAACCTGGAAAAACCAAAGATAAATATCTGTTAAATTTCAACTGATTTTATAAGGCCTTATAATATCAGTCAGTTAACCTGACCTTTATGAATTATGAAGCCTTTATGTGCTTGTTTTGATTACATAAATGCTTCAAAATTCACAAGTGATGTTGGCTGATGAAGATTATCTCATAGAACAAAATGTATAAGATCTCTTAAGCCTGTGTTTAACACAGACCTTACTTTCTGCGTTTATCCCCAAAAAAACATTCAATTTCCCATATGCTTTGGCCATCGAGCCATGGCGGAGTTAGCCTGCGTTAGTGCCTACAAAAATGTTATTGCTCTCTATAAGGCTACTAGGAGGATGTTGTTGTTATTATTGGCTTTGCTGGTTTTCCTGTTAAGATTTTCTCTGTGTAATTGCATAAGAGCTGGTCATCCTGTCATTTAGGGCAAGGTTTGAGGAGAGGGATGTTGTGCTGTTGAAGTGATGAGTCTCCATGTCTCTTCTCTGACTGACTTAATAATAATGGAGAGCGCTTTAAACACCTCTGGTTTTAGCATTTAACACAGTTCACACACAAAATGTAGAGATTGACATGGGGAATAATACTTTGTTACACATGCTAATACCCCTCTCCCTCTCTCTCCTACTTTCCCTTTGTGGTCTGTCCCTGCAGTGTGACTGTTTGTCGGTTTGCCAGCGGAGGTGATGACTGGTATGTGCTGGTGGGGGTGGCCCGGGACATGATCCTTAACCCCCGCTCTGTGGGAGGCGGTTTTCATCTACACCTATCGGCTGGGAGGGGGAGGGGACAAACTGGAGTTTATGCACAAGGTGAGTGAGTGACAGAGGATATGACTAATCCAGTGGTTTCTGGGTCTTGTTGACCACAGCTGTGTGCACAGGAATTCCCAGACTGTTATTTCTGAATGGTCATAATTGCCCTTTGAGAGTCAGAGTACTCTCATTCTTGCTTCCACCCCCTCCCCTTTACCCAACTCCCTGAGGGACGCAGTCTGACTGACAGAACTTTGTCTTTCCAGTCTCAGCGGGTCTTGTCTGTAATTTAGACTTTACATTTTTTTATTTAACCTTTATTTAACCAGGCAAGTCAATTAAGAACAAGTTCTTATTTAAAAAGGTGTTATTTTGAGAGCAAAAACCTGAAAACAATGGGGGGAAACGGAAACCTGGAAAAACAAAACCGAGAAAAGGGAATTTGGGGGAAAAACTGAAAATGGAATCAGGCAAAAAATAAAACCAGATTTTATAGGGCCCTATAATATGTCAGTTAACATTACATTTTTGAATTATGAAGCCTTTATGTCACGTGTCAAACACAAGGCCCATGACACATTTCTGTCCGGCCCTCGCAATGATTTGAGTTGTCAAATAATTTTGTCCCGCTTCCATAGCCTGCCAGAACAGCTTCAATGCGTCTTGGCATAGATTCTACAAGTGGAGCTAAACAATGCCAGGAAAATGCACCCCACACCATAACATATACTTTGTATCCCTCATTTACTCAAGTGTTTCCTTTGTTTTGGCAGTTACCGGTATGCCTAGATTCGGGTAGGCCGCAGTTTGGGCAGCATGCGAGCCAAATATACAGCTTGTTGCCTTGTGGCCATAGACATATAATCCATAGAAGGGTTTTGTAACCTCTTACCCTTGCAATTTGACTGTTAAACTGATGGATACACTAACAATGGATGCCAGTCCTGACTTGAATGGGAACTGCCATCTATGCATTATATTTCTATGGTTGGTTGTGGCTGTCGGTTTGCCTTGTGCAGATTAAAAATACAATCGTGGGAAAAACGTACATTTTGGAAAGCAAATGCCTACTGCTGAAAAGAGAAGACTAATCTCTCTGTAGAACCAATAGAAACAATGTTTAGCTAACAGCAGCACCGTTTTTCGAAGTAGCTCATCATGAGATAGGCTTTTGCCACGACGAGCGCTTCGGCCATCACCGTGCGTAGCCTATGGCTTCATCTTCATCATTAGGTGTCATCGTCATCATTAGGTGAGTGTGTGCCACTGGAAATTATATTTAGTAGCCTACTGTAGCCTATGATATATACTGTATATATATTTCCTCCTAATATTGTACAATTTGTGTGTCGCTTCATTGGCCTGGGCTATTGTTTGTTTGAATTCAAGACCAGCTTGGTCGCTGTTTGTCAGTCAGAGTAGCCACTCGTTTGTCATTTGTGTGGTATTAAAAAAGATTCAGCTATTGTCTTCTGTCATGGAAATGACGTAGAATTACATGAAATGCGTTTTTAAAAGGTAGGTTTTTTTTCAGACCCTGTGAAGTTATGTTACCCATGTGTGGAAATCCCCAAAAATTCTCAGCTCAACTGTAGCCTATGCCACACGGCAAACGTTATGGCTTTATTATGAAGAGGCCTTTTCTTCTAAAGTAAATTTACCATGCATCGAAATGCATCTTGTTGCACGGATTTGTTTACGAGGAGGGGAGGGGGGGGCTATAACAAAACAATAAAATAAAAAGGCCCAGGGCCTATGATTTCTTAATCCGGCCCTGCATACAGCCCAGGATGCGCTGCACTACAAGTCACAGCATGCACTGCCAACAGACCCACCCCTCCTCCCAGACCCACACATGAGCCAGCCAGTGCACTGTATCATATCATCATCACTAATGGCACTGACCGAATCTTCTACCGGAACGAAAGTTTAAACATGATGTAGGCTAAATGTCCATGCCAAGTTTCCGTTCCAAAGGGTCATTGCTGTGGCCTACACAAAATGTCATCTTGGTTGTCAAAAAGTTATAAGATAAAGGATTCACATGCAGGTATAAATGACTACTAAAGGACAATAGTACACACAATAGTATAAATGAGTCAACAGTTGAGTCGTCTACTTTATGAAATTACAGCCTGATGTGCTCGCATCGGTAAAAAAAAAAAAAAAAAAGATTTCAATCTTCAATTGTGCTGCTGTCGTGTGTCTCATTTACCGCAAGAAGCGGAGGGAAAGTGTAGACACATACCACAGTCCTTGCTAGGCTACTAAAATGTTGCAGTCTGGCTTCTGTTTTTAAAGGTTGACAATGAATTACCAAAAAACTAAACCTGCAGCAAAACACCATGCAAAGGAGAACCAAGTAGGCCTATTACAGCAACATTTGAGCAATAGCCTAGGCTGGCTACTCAACTACAAGACATTTTAAGTGCACCATACAGCAATGCTGCATTCAACTGCACCGGTGATCCATGCAGAGCAAAAAAATAAGTTTGTTACAACAACCTAGCTACATTTTTGTTATTTGGAGTTAAATACTTTTTTTGCAGCATATTATTTGCAAGCATCGCAGCAAAGGCTGGACAAATATTATTTATCAATTTTGTTTTAATATGTTAAATGCTATCTACAGCATCTTATGTACATAAGTGGACATTATAAAGGGCCATATTTTTTATAATAAAACATTAGCCAGTTTGGGTCGTAGTTGTATGCAAGTTATTTTGTAAAAACAAACATAATAGGCTATGTCTGGCCAGTGACTTCATTGTTTTTTTAATATGGCCCTTGCGCTGATTGAGTTTGACGCAAGAGGCAAAAGGCCTCCTGTGGCCAAATAAAAATACAAAGACAGAACTGATAACACAGACCGAAGACACTGGCAACAGCACAAATACAACAGCAAACAAACAGTAGGATGTGTGTGTGCAGGCATGCGTGTGGTGTGTGTGAAGTTAAACAACATGCTTCCTTACATAAGGCAACCCAAACTAGTGACAACTACAAACAACTACATGTCTCAACAACCTGTTCATCTATTTGTCCTTTGAACTCCTCCAGTGGACACCAGGTCCTGGTGTTTTAGGTTGGCTTGGAGGGAATTCCAAGACCAGAGGGCTGAGTAATGAAAGGGCCTTTGTCCATGGTCAGTTCAAAACAAAAGGCTGCGTGATACAGAGTTAAGAGCCTTCAGTGTAGAGCCTTGAGGCTTGCACATAAATAGTATCACCATAGACCAACACAGAGAGAGAAGTATGAAGATGTATGCACTAACTAAGTTGCTCTGGATAAGAGCGTCTGCTAAATGACTAAAATGTAAAAGTACAATGAATCATCTATTTTCTGGCGGCAAGGGAAAAACAAGCTTTTTGCAGGTAATAAAACCCAATACGCAGCTTGAGTTTCCTGACAAGGTTCTCCCAATGGGTGGTGAAGCTCAACTTCTCATCCACCCAAACTCCCAGAAATGTATGTTTTGACTTGCTCTACAGAATGTCCTTTCAAGGTAGTATGTTAATGACCTTCAAGATCAGTTGTTTTTTATATGGTAAAGGAATGTTGTTTTGACAGACTCCAGTGGAGGACGTTCCTCTGGCAATTGCTCCGTTCCAGGGCCGTGTGCTGGTGGGCGTTGGTAAACTTCTGCGCATCTATGACCTGGGCAAGAAGAAGCTGCTCCGCAAGTGTGAGAACAAGGTGAGACAGGGAGCCTGACGTCTCACACACACAGGAAAAACACAAACACACAAGGATGTATAAAAAACTATTGACTCTACTGTGTAAACACCTGACCAGTTGGCAGTGTGGTAAGTGGCTGGTTAGGAAGGCAAGGGGTCAGATTGATGCTCCTGCAGCTGTCTTTTGTATTTGCACCCCTTGACTATTTCTGCATTTTTTTATTATTTTAATTATCATTTTTTGTCAACGATCTACACAAAATACTCTGTCAAATGTGCTCTCAATTCACTGGTATTTAGCTATGTTTTTTATCGATTGTAGGGCTGTAGCCACAGAATTCTGGTAGTTTTCAACCATCAATCACAACATTTGCAGCTGGCACAATACAGCCAATGCCGGGCATGCTGCCTCTCGCCACAGTTGCTTCAGTGAAAATTCAATGTAGCCGAAAGAAAAATGTTTTACCTTTTTATATTTCAGTTGAATGTTCTTAGCACGGCACTTCCTTTACATTTGCACTCATATCGTGTACAGTTCATAACTTACAGTATTAGGATTTTTTGACATAGGTAACTGCCTTATTCATGTTTTTAAATGCTTTATTATGACATATTATTGACATGTAGTGAAAAATGATTTGTTTACTGCTGCTTTTTGTATTATGCTTGCAGTGTCCATTTATGATGGTATTTGATGATTCTGAATAATAATAGTTCTAAATATGCTTTATGAGCAGTGCAAATTAATTGTAAGTGGTTTTAATGGGCTTTCTCCATTCTGATTGCTTTATTCTGTTCAACCAAACTTCACTGTCAGTTTTGTCCAATTATTTTTGGTTGAAGTAGTCTTATTTGTAGAACATTGCATATAAATCGTCTTTTGTAGCCACAAACTCAACCAGTGGTTACCGTTTGCATAGTTATTTAATTCCAGCATTAACTTCCAGAAATGTAATCAATTCATTTCCTGCACTAATTTATCATGTACACACTGTCACATTTATTTTGTCTTAGTATGCCTCTTATTTATTTATCAGAATAATTATTCTCCTCTTTGACCTCTATTAAATTGCAGTTTTTACTTTCGCCACGAGACAGCAGTGTGATGTTTTCCAGGGGTCTCTACTCCCGAAGTTGTTGACTTGTGCTTGCAAGTTCGCTAGTTGTTCTCAGCTGTTAGCAGTTTCTTACTGCTGATAAAACTGATGATTGCTATATATTTTGTCATTAGCGAATTATTTAATGTAACAAATCAAACTTTAAAATACCATTAGAGAAGGTACAGTTAAAATCCACACCATTGTGTGGATAAATACCGGTGTGTATAGTAAAATACAATATACCACCCAGCCTAGTTTGACTAACCTAAAATACTCACTTCAGGTTAAGGTCTCAAAGGAATTAAGTTAACCACTGTTAGAATTATTAGCGATCTAAGTGCAGTAATCAAGTTGGGGAGAAGATTGATTTGTAAGAATCTCCTTCTAAAAGCAAAGATAAAAGGCCACAGCATCATCCATCCATCATTCATTGTACCAAAGGACAATTTACCACTGTCCACCGTTTGTTTAGGTTCCAGACCTTTCAAATAAAATCCATATGGCAGTCCATTGAGGACAGAGGTGTTCAGTTGATGTCATCCGTCTCGTTTGCAGCATGTGCCCAACCTGGTGACTGGTATCCACACCATCGGTCAGCGGGTCATAGTGACTGACGTACAGGAGAGTCTGTTCTGGGTGCGCTACAAGCGCAACGAGAATCAGCTGATCATCTTCGCTGACGACACCCACCCTCGATGGGTCACCACCGCCTGCCTGCTGGACTACGACACAATGGCTTCAGCCGACAAGTTTGGCAACATTAGCATTGTACGTGTACACTCTTTATTGTTCCTTTCTGACAAAGGTGTTGGGTATTATATCGGATACTACCTTTTCTCTAAAAGGAAGTGTTTGCCAGACGACTCATTAACAGTTTTATCCAATTTATGATATTTCAATGATGCCGCAAACATTTTTGAAGTCTTTTACACTTACATTTTGTACCCCCTCAGGTGCGCCTTCCCCCTAACACCAGCGACGATGTGGATGAGGACCCAACTGGGAACAAAGCGTTGTGGGATAGAGGTCTGCTGAACGGAGCTTCTCAGAAGGTACAGGCTTTCTGCTCCTCTGTCACAGCATCACAGCTCTAGAGAGACAGGATCATGGGAGAACTGTTGTCTGTCTGTCTCGCTCTCTGGATCACTGTTTGTGTCTTGGTGGAGTTGTGGTTTGCCTCATCCCAGACCTGCTCTCCAATCCTTGGAAGCTCTCCAGGCCAATTTGCTGTTTTCCATTTGGCTGTTTATTGGAAGCTTTTAAGAGCTAGAAGATGTTTAGGTAGTCAGTGGGAAATTCCCTACACTTGGACTTATTGTGGGCAATTGGTAAAAAGGGTGCATATAAGCAATGTTTTCTGGTTGTGTCATGAGTGAGAATTGTTCTGTAAACCCCTGTCTGTGCCTGACCCTTTTCCATGTCTGTTCCCCTGTGTCAGGCTGAAGTGATTATGAACTACCACATTGGGGAGACGGTGCTGTCACTGCAGAAGACCACACTGATTCCCGGAGGCTCGGAGTCTCTGGTCTACACAACTCTGTCTGGAGGTATCGGCATCCTGGTGCCCTTCACCTCCCACGAGGTACCTCACACACCACACACTCACACACATACAGTGCGCTCAGAAAGTATTCATACTGCTTGACTTATTCCACATTTTGTTGTTACAGCCTGAATTCAAAATGGATTAAATATTTAAAGTGAAAACGTGTTTTGAGAAAGTTTTGCACATTTATTATTAATGAAATACAGAAATATGTAAATTACAGTCCTGTGTAGCTCAGTTGGTAGAGCATGGCGCTTGCAACGCCAGGGTTGTGGGTTCGATTCCCACGGTGGGCCAGTATGAAAATGTATGCACTCACTAACTGTAAGTCACTCTGGATAAGAGCGTCTGCTAAATTACTAACATGTAAATCTATTCACACCACTTTGCCATGACACTCCATATTGAGCTCATGTGCATCCAGTTTCCTTTGATCGTCACTACAACTTGATTGGAGTCCACCTGTGGCCAATTCAATTGTTTGGACAGGATTTTGAAAGAAACATACCTGTCAATATAAGGTCCCACAGTTGACAGTGCATGTCAGAGCAGAAACTATACCATGAAGTTAAAGGAACTGTCCGTAGATCACCTAGATATATATGACTCATCACAATTCTCTGGGGAGGGGTATAAAACAATTTCTAGAGTGTTGGAAGGTTTCCAAGAGCACAGTCGTCTCCATTGGGAAATAGAAAAAATATGGAACTACCCAAACTCTGCCTACAGCCGGCCGTCCGACAAAATTGAGCAACCGGGCAAAAAGGACCTTGGTCAGGGAGATGACCAAGAAATGACCACTCTGATAGAACTACAGAGTTCCTTGGCTGAGATAGGAAAACCTGCCAGAAGGACAGTCTCTATAGCACTTCACCAATCTGTGCTTTATGGGAGTGGCCAGACGGAAGCCACTCCTGATAAAAAGGCACGTGACAGCACACTTGGAGTTTGCAAAAAGGCACATGAAAGACAGAGCATAAGGGTAAAGATTCTGTGGTCTGAGACGACAAACATTTTACTCTTTGGCCTGAATGCAAAGCGTTATGTCTGGAGAAAACCAGGCACAGATAATCACCTGTCTAACACCATCCCTACTGTGGGGCATGCTGGTGGCAGCATTTTTTTTATTTTGTCATTTTAGCAGACGCTCTTATCCAGAGCGACTTACAGGAGCAATTAGGGTTAAGTGCCTTGCTCAAGGGCACATCTACAGATTTTTCACCTAGTCGGCTCGGGGATTAGAACCAGCGACCTTTCGGTTACTGGCACAACGCTCTTAACCACTAAGCTACCTGCCGCCCATCATGCAATGGGGATGCTTTTCAGCGTCAGGGACTGGGAGACTGGTAAGGATAGAGGGAGGTAAGGATAGAGGGAACAATGAATGGAGCCAAATACAGGCAAATCCTTGATCAGAACCTGCTTCAGAGTTCAAACTAACTTAGACTGGGGCCAATATTTACATTCCAACAGGACAATGACCCCAAGCATACAGCCAAAGCAATGCTGGAATGGCTTCAGAACAAGAATGTGAAAGTCCTTGAGTGGCCAAAGCCCAGACTTGAATCTCATTTGATTTTCTGTGAAAAAACTTGGCATTCCACATGAGAAAGGATGCAGACTCCTCATGTAACCTAATACCGGCAACTTCAGGAGAGTAAAGCCAATAGGAGCGGCAGGAGGATGGTCAGGTTACGTTTTTTTCTTCTGGTTATCTTGATCTCTGGCTCCCTCGAGTCATTTGTGTCTTATTTCATCAAACAGTGCGCTTAAAGCATCCGACAAGCTCAATGCATATATAGTTCATTTTATTAAAACACATAAGGTGTGTCTACAGTGCATTCGGAAAGTATTCAGACCCCTTGACTTTTTCCACATTTTGTTACGTTACAGCCTTATTCTAAAATGGATTGCATCACATTTACATTTTAGTCATTTAGCAGACGCTCTTATCCAGAGCGACTTACAAGTGCCTTGCTCACGGGCACATCGACAGATTTTTCACCTAGTCGGCTCGGGGATTATAACCAGCGACCTTTCGGTTACTGGCACAACGCTCTTAACCACTAAGCTACCTGCCACCCATTAATTGTTTTCTTCATCAATCTACACACACTACCCCATAATGACAAAGCGAAACAGGTTTTTAGAAATGTTTGCAAATATTACCTTTTTTTTTACAGAAGTATTCAGACCCTTTGCTATGAGACTCGAAATTGAGCTCAGGTGCATCCTGTTTCCATTGATCATCCTTGATGTTTCTACAACTTGATTGGAGTCCACCTGTGTTACATTCAATTGATTGGAAAGGCGCACACACCTGTCTATGTGACCGACCGCCTCGATTCGATCTAATGTAGCAAATTTTGAAATTGTGTTTTTTACATTGGATAAAAGTAGAGGCTCAGAGCTAGAAAATGGTATATCATAGACTGCAGTTGAAGAACAATGGGAAAATAATTATGCTTTGAAAGTTGATAAACTTGTAACCCCACTTTTGAGAAAATGGTCCTTGAATGTTTTGGTACACCTACTGGAGAGCTCTTCTTTGTCAACACCCATTCGGCATCGTTCACACCCTCTTAAGCCTTAGCCCCACCCATCTCTTTAAGGATTCACATGTGAGGCCATTTGCTAAACAGAGTGATTAGTTTAGTAAACAACCAAATATTTCAAGACAAAGTGGTGAAAGTAGTAGCCTACAATAAGGAAAAACTCCAGATAAAAATACACTATCTAGTAATTGGCCAATATCCTAATCTGACTTTGGTGCATGTCATGTTCTTCACATTACCATCTCTGGTAAACCCACACTAGCAAATCAAATAAAAAGTTGATGTTGCCACATGCACTGGATACAAACAGTACAGTGAAATGGTTACTTGCATAGTAGTAATATCAAAAACAAAGTGTCTAGATACAAATATTTTATAATTATTACATGACGCTTACCTGACATGCTTGTCTAAATTGATGGGTAATGTGAAGGAAATGCTATAACCAACCAACATCTAGCTAAATGGATGGGTCACTATTGTCTAGACATGCACACATGTTCATTAAATACAAACGATGGCCGTAATCACCCCCAGACACACCTGGCTAACTTGATGGGTCATGTAATCATCTGGTAAAGAGTTTTGTTTAGAGATGTATTTTGTTTAGACATGTAGCTAGCTTGCTAAACAATGAACTGGCATAATCCCAACTCCTACTACTACCAACCAATACAAACATTGTCATAGCTGTAGTATGAATCTGCAGGTAGCTAAAGCTAACCAACCAGGTTCAATGTTAGCTAGCTAACATTAGGCTATAACTAAGAATGCAAATGGTTTTCTGAATTGAATAATATTACTACACAGATCATACCCGTAACGCTAGCTAGCGAGCCAGCAAGCTAACGTTCGCTAGCTAGTTAACAGTACGCTTTAACTTGCAATGAAAATGACTTCCTGTCAAAATTAGAAACGTATAATATCTGAAAATTTAGCTAGACTCTTACCCTTATACATGGATGAACACTTCACGGCAGACTGGAACCATTTAACTCAGTTTTGTTTGTAGCTACATATTGTTTGGCAAGCGTTGTCAAGTCACTCTGGTTCACACTGACCGTGGAGTGTGCAGAAAGTAGCAAATCACTTTATCCAACTGATCTGTTGATTAGCGCCTGCTAAATTCAGGGCATCAATGTTGTTAAGAAAAGTTGCAAAACTTTTGTAGTTCTCAGTGGCTAATGTTATATATTTCAAAAACGAGGTTGAAAGGACTATCAACACATACTGAGCAGCTCACGTTATAAACAGAAGCATGCAGACCAATCCAAACTCATCTCCCGGCATGTCCAGCCCATCCATTATCTCAGCCAATCATGACTAGCGGGAAGGTTCCTATATTTTTCCATGGCTAAACCAACTAGGCTCGTAATTTAACAATTTTATTTGTATTTATGGATGTAATACAAGCTTGATATTAAGGCACATGAAAGTTCACATGTTCCAGAAGGCATTTCTGCCAAAAAATACATACATACAAAAATGTTTGATAAAAAATGTTTACATTCAAATACCTCTAATGTGAAGTAGTGATGTGCAAGATATGCCTAGTTTCCTGAAACTAGTCACATATAAGGTCCCACAGTTTACATTGCATGTCGGAGCAAGAACCAAGCCATGAGGTCGAAGGAATTGTCCGTAGAGCTCCGAGACAGGATTTTGTCGAGGCACAGATCTGGGGAAGGGTACCAAAAAATGTCTGCAGCATTGAAGGTCCCGAAGAACACAGTGGCCTCCATCATTCATAAATGGAAGAAGTTTGGAACCACCAAGACTCTTCCTAGAGCTGGACGCCCGGCCAAACTGCGCAATCGGGGGAGAAGGGCCTTGGTCAGGGAGGGGACCAAGAACCCGATGGTCACTCTGACAGAGCTCCAGAGTTCCTCTGTGGAGATGGGAGAACCTTCCAAAAGGACAACCATCTTTGCAGCACTCCACCAATCAGGCCTTTATGGTAGTGGCCAGAAGGAAGCCACTCCTCAGTGAAAAGCACATGACAGCCCACTTGGAGTTTGCCAAAAGGCACCTAAAGGACTCTGACCATGAGAAACAAGATTCTCTGGTCTGATGAAACCAAGATTTGAACTCTTTGGCCTGAATGCCAAGTGTCACGTCTGGAGGAAACCTGGCACCATCCCTACGGTGAAGCATGGTAGTGGCAGCATCATCCTGTGGGGATGTTTTTCAGCAACGGACTTGGAGACTAGTCAGGATCGAGGGAAAGCTGAACGGTGCCAAGTACAGAGAGATCCTTGATGAAAACCTGCTCCAGAGTGCTCAGGACCTCAGACTGGGGCGAAGGTTCACCTTCCAACAGGACAACGACCCTAACCACACAGCCAAGACAACGCAGGAGTGGCTTCAGGCTACGTCTCTGAATGTCCTTGAGTGGCCCAGACAGAGCCCGGACTTGAACCCGATCAAACATCTCTGGAGAGACCTGAAAATAGCTGTGCAGCGATGCTTCCCATCCAACCTGACAGAGCTTGAGAGGATCTGCAGAGAAGAATGGGAGAAACTCCCCAAATACAGGTGTGCCAAGCTTGTAGCGTCATACCAAAGAAGACTCGAGGCTGTAATTGCTGCCAAAGGTGCTTCAACAAAGTACTGAGTAAAGGGTCTGAACACTTATGTAAATGTGATATTTCAGTTTTTTTATTTTTAATAAATGTGCAAATATTTCTAGAAATCCTGTTTTTGCTTTGTCATTATGGGGTATTGTGTGTAGATTGATGGGGGGGGAAAACAATTTAATCCATTTTAGAATAAGTATGTAACGTAACAATGTGGAAAAAGTCAAGGGGTCTGAATACTTTCTGAATATATGGAAAAATACACCTTTTACAATTTCAACTAATCGATTGTTCGAAAGAACAGACGACTTTAGCCCGACAATTATAATTTTTTGTCAGGACAGGCCTAATTGATGGCGAAAATTAATTGATGGTGTGCCTCTCTGTCCTCAGGATCATGACTTCTTCCAGCACTTAGAGATGCACATGCGCTCAGAGTTCCCCCCTCTGTGTGGCAGGGACCACCTCAGCTTCCGATCCTACTACTTCCCTGTAAAGGTGGGTACTACCTGAATAGGTTGCATTACTATTCCCGTAGGATGGTGGGGCAAAGAAAGCCACACTTTATACTCCCAGCGATGTAGAGGGAATGTGTCCAGAGGACACCAATATATGTTTACAAATGGAATCTGATACCAAATATTCTGGGTGAAAAGTTATGCCAGGAACCTACTATTGCGTGTGGTCTCTTCAAGTCCAGTACATTTGGCTGGATCAGTTTTTGTATTGTATTGTATTTATTATGGATCCCCATTAGCTGCTGCAGCTACTCTTCCTGGGGTGCAGCAAAATTAAGGCAGTGTTACATTTTTAAAACATTACAATACATTCATAACAGATTTCACAACATTAAGTGTATGCCCTCAGGCCCCTACTCTACTACCACATATCTATAACGTGTGTGAATATGTTTGTGTTGCTTCACAGTCCCCGCTGTTCCATAAGGTGTATTTTTATCTGGGTTTTTTTCAATCTAATTGTACTGCTTGCATGAGTTACTTGATGTGGAATAGAGTTCCATGTAGTCATGGCTCTATTTAGTACTGTGCGCCGTCCATAGTCTGTTCTGGATTTAGGGACTGTGAAGAGACCTCAGTAGACATGCTGTGAATTATTAACAGATTGCATGCGGTCTCTGTTGAACATGAATGCGGAAATCAGAAGCCTTGTTCTTTGGCCATCCAGACAGTCTTACCTAGTGTGTCTGACCCTCTCTCCTGTCTGTGTGTGTGTGTGCAGAATGTGATAGATGGAGATCTGTGTGAGCAGTTCAACTCCATGGACCCCCACAAGCAGAAGAGTGTTGCTGAGGAGCTGGACCGTACCCCCCCTGAGGTCTCAAAAAAACTGGAGGACATCCGCACACGCTATGCTTTCTAGAACCCTCATGTACTGTACATACACAAACTGTAATTTACAACAACTTACATTTTGAGACTGTGCTGCGTTGTGTTAACATGAGGAGGAGGTGAGAGCTTTCTTAGTTTCCTGCCGAAAAGTTGACAGAACATAGTTTCCTTGCCTCTTCACCATCTATGAACACTGAATCTATCTTTAGGCCCTGGTATGTTTATTAGGCCTATAAAAACGTCACTAATTGTGGTGAATGGTGTTAACTGTCTATGGTGAATATTTACCCCATGGTTTTCACTCACATGTCATTTAAACCTAGCTGGATTCTTTAGAATTGATAATGCGTCTAGCATCAGTGCTTTAGACGGTCTCATACAGGAGCAGTCGCTGGGTTTTCAAGCGTGAGAAGCATGGCCTAGTAAACCCTTTGATAGAATTAGCTCAACTGTTTTTGCATTGTGTGATTTGTTTAAGCGATCCGTTTGAAGTATTTTTGCTTTAACTGAGTGCCACAAATGAAATGGATTTTCTTTTAATTTTCTGTATCGATTTGAATCCTAAAAAATGTTTGAGTCTCCAGCAGCTGTTTATTTTGTGCTTAAAAAGTGAGTTCCTTTGATGGACAAATTGTCCATATCTATTACACAGGATGACAGGATTGTGGACAATAGCGAAGGAAAAGCCACACTTTAGAAGAGAAATAGCATTCTCTATTAGTCATGAGAAAACGGAGGCAGACAAATTTGTAAATAAAGTGTTTTTTTAATCTCTTGTAATGCCTTGTCACATTGTCTGTTATACTTATGTGGGAGAGGCAAAGGAGCAGTGAGTTTTAACAATATTAGCATAGTTTACTGTTAAATTTGATAACGAAGTCCGCTCTGATTTTGGCTTTCATTTTACAATAGGCCTTTTGGGTCTTGTTTTTCAGTCTGCTCTCATGGACGGAATTTGGAAATGGCTATAAGGCTTAGCCAATCAGATATGCAGAGGTTGATTGTAAGATCAATCTATTTTATGTATGAATGAATCATGTCTATATCCCTCCCTTTGATATTATTTGCACTCCGGGAGATTAAATGCCAAAGAAAACAGAAGGAAACTGGTTTTGTGTTTGCTGGTCCATCTGGATGTGGCCAAAATGTCATGCTGACCTTTCCTGAGTGGTAGTAGAGGTAAAGGAAAAACCATTCAACCTCTGATATGAAGGACAGAGCAAATCATCCCCCAATTCTTGAAGTAAGGAAGTTACTGTGTCTGTTTGGTGCATGCTTTTGATGTGGTCACTCACCTCAGACCTATTATTGGGCTTGTCACAAGGTCATATAAAATGTGAATGTGATAGCATGTTCTGAAAGGCCATTTTCATGTTAGGAATTATAATGACCTGGTTAAATCAGACTGATTTCAATGTTATTTTTAATTGATAAGCAATTTTTGTGCATTACTATTAGTTAGTAAGGCAATTAGTCAATGTTGTGACAGGGGTATTAGGACATTTGACCTGTATCTTGAGCATTCAAGTTATGGCACTGATGCCCTACAACTATGATATTGATATGGAGTTAGCAGAGGGTTATGTTGAGTCACTGCCTCTTCCTCTACTTTTCATTTTCAACGTGTCATTCAACAGGAGAACAAAATACCATTGTGCCATTCTCGAGGTTGGTGTTGTGCCATTCTCGAGGTTGGTGTTGTGCCATTCTTGAGGTTGTTGAGATTGCTGGGAATATAGGTAGTTAGGCATAGTGCATAGAAATGTTTGTAAACTGTGGTAACTTTCAGTGAGGTTGTTTGTGCATATTTGTGTGATCAGTGTTACACCCCAGTGGATGTTTGTTATTATGGCTTGAAGAGGTGCTTATTCTTTGGAATTTGGTTGTCATTCACCACAGTTTGACTGAAGACTTAACCAGTTGCCATGTTAATGTGGTTTCTCAAAATTAGGGTAAAACATCCTTTCTGCTGGCCAGATAGACGTCCCAATTAAAGGCCTGCTTTCAAAATGCATGCAATTTTACATAAAAAGTTATACTTGGTAATCTGTCTCAGACATGTATTTACTTATGGTATGTGTTATTTACTTAAATTAAATACTTTTCTAAAGTAACTTCAGTCAATTCCGTTGACCTCTGACGGCATCTGTTTTATGCAAACTTCCTGGTGTTGTAACTGCAAGCAGGAATTCAAAATGTTAGCAGACTAACTACACTATTGAGCACCAGGGTCGTTCACCCCGCTCCTTGTTTGAGGGTTTAAGGATGCTGAGGATGTACATTTCCTTCATTGGAGAGTCATTGGTCACCATCTTCTGGGATTTCCCCCCTGATGTCACTTTGTCTGGACTAGCAGATGGTGTTATGATTGAGGTTTGGTTTGAGATTTTGGGGCCTGCTCTCTACATGGAATGCCCCTTCTCAAAATGTCTCAAGAGGGTATCTGGCTCTAGGCCAGCCTGAATGCCTAAAAATGTTTTTTATTTTTTTTTACATTTGGCAAAGGGATCCATGGAATAAGTTTACAATGTGTAATACAATATTATTTAACAGAAGCAAATGGAAATAATTGAGGATAAACATACCTGAATTTGTCCAATAGAAACTATTGTTTGCAATTGTTGGACTAATGATTACATTTACATTTTAGTCATTTAGCAGATGCTCCTATCCAGAGCGACTTAGTTAGTGAGTGCATACATTTTTTCATACTGGCCCCCCGTGGGACCAGATCAGATTACACCCTAGATTAGCTAGATGCAGGCAAGGCGGTATTTAATGTGTCATTATCTCTCACCTTGATTACTCACATTTCTCTCGACCTGTGCACCTACATTTTAAACTTTAATTAATAGGCTAGGTTGTAGCAACCTCATGATGTGTAAAGGGTTAAGTTGAGTATCATGTAGTAGCCTAAACCTATCAATGTTACATTGAGCTGGGTGAATGGAATATGAATGACAGTCATCCAGTATGCTGTAATAGAAAAAAGGCCATGCTCATAAAAAAATACAATAGTCCTCCCTCATCTTAATCTACAATTTATGTTCTTAACCATGGGCCTGGGAGGCTCACCGAGATATTGGTATCCACAGTACTCCACCAATTATATATTTTTCAACTCAATACTTCTTGTATTCCCCCAATTCTTTTTTTTCTTTTTTTACATAAATGCACTGTAATTTAAGTTTTAAAACTGCAGTGTTCTCTCTGCCTCATGGCAAAATGTGTAGAATTGCAGGAGATTTGCTTGAAAACTGCTAAATGTTCTCTCCGATGCCAAGAGATGGGTCTTCCCAGGGGCCAATATTGTATCAGAGGTGTTTGCTTTCACTGGGACACTTTTTTTCACACAGCGCAGCTGAATGGAAGGAAACAAAGGGTAAGACTTGGCTACTCACCCCTACTAATGTAATGAGGTTTAGTCAATTCTAATAAGACCTAGACTTTGATCTGACTAATGGATGATAAATTACTGCAGCCACTTCTGAACCACTTCAGCTTCAGAAATTTGACCAAAACCATTAAGAACTCCTGTAGCCATTGCAGTATTATTTGCCAGAGTCTCATTCATGCTGCACCTCACTACTGCGAGATAAAGCCCAAAGAAATCCATAATGATCCACGTGGGCGTTTGTGGTGGGACAGTTTGGTACCCTAGCTGTCCTGAGTAGGCATATGTTGGCCACGCAAGCGGTCAGTCTATTTGTTCACAATGAACTCTGTGCCCTAGAAGATAAGTGATGTGAATGTCATGAAATGATGTGTTTGTGAATAAATTGCCGTACATGCTGGCGTGGCTGTTGAGCACATGGACAAAGTTTTAAGCATAAGGAGCCGAATGTGGAGTATGTAGCGATATCTGTGCCAACAAATTGTATTTGAATTCCATAATTTTGAATTTGTATTAGGATATTGAATTAGAATGTAATATTTAGGGCAGTCTAGTCTGGGGTGAGATTATTATTTGGGAGAGAGGTAGGCGCATTGCATGGAAAGTGAAAGTAAAACCTAACTATTTGCGCCTACAGGGTGGAGCTGGAGACGACCACATTGGCATTGCGCAATTGATTAATATTTGCGCATTTTGGAGAGCTGGGGAAAAGAAACCGAGGCTTCAGGGAGTTTCCCAAATTCGCTTTCTTCTAAGGGGGTTTTGCTCTGGGTATTGCTACGCGCAGATCATCTATTAAAGATGACAAATTGTGCCAATGTCACTAACCAGACACGCACGCGTTGTTTCCAAGCCTTGTAAGTCATTTGTGTGAACCATGTGTGCTTTTGGTCGTTGATGGTCATCCTGAAGATAACGGAGTGTTGAAGTGGCAAGTTTCGGTGGAGTTACAGCTGTGATTGGGCAGGTGAATATGGAAGTGCGATTTGTAACGCCTTGAGCAAATATTGGATGTGTTGTGTATTGCTGCGCTTAACCAACTTTAGTTATATGGTCTTATAAGACATGCTATTATTGAATATGAACGCTGAGGATGCAACCCGAAGGTGCTGTTTTGATATTGTAGGCTAAATGGCTAAATAATAAAGATCCCTGGGATCCATGATCCATAGGATAGATTATGTAACATTTACCCTCACACTTTAGAGGCATGTTATGTTGTTATTTGCCAGTGTAGGCTATGACTCTATTTGTTATGCATTTTATTGTTATATACCATGTGTCCATACATGTGATATATGTAAGTTATTTTTGGGGCACTGTCCTCTACTTTTCTCCAAGTTACAGCTGTGATGTGTGATACATTTTCTTATCAATTTTGTCATCATTTTCTGTACTTTTTTTGGAACTGATCATGGAAATTCATGTGAATGAATGATCACATCATTCACACCTCATTCACACGTGTCATGCCTACAGATGTGGGAATTACAGAATTCAAATGTCATTTGGATTCACATGTGAAGTTGAATCTTCATTCTTCACATACAAATATTAAGAAGTATATTCTCATTCATATGTGTCTTTTCGATATGATGTCATTGAATGACAGAGTATAGTTATGCATTTTTATATTA